TCATTTTGGTAGGCAATAAATTCGGTTGTTGTAGTTGTTTTTGTTGCAGTTGTTGCTGTAATTGATGTTTTTGTTGATCTAATTGATTTTGTTGTTGATGTGATTGATGTTGTCGCAGTTGCTGTTGTTGATCTTCAATAACAAATCTTTCATTATCACAACAACAACAAGTATGACGTTCTTTTTGATAGCGCTGATAAAAATGTTGTTGTTGTTGTTGCTGTTGTTGTTGTTGCTGACGATGATGTTGTTGTTGTTGTGAAGATATAGTTATATTTCGTCTGCTCGTTGGATATTTATGATTATTGACTTCAAACCCTAACGCGTTATATAAAATGTTTTCAGCACAATACGTGTAAAAATATGAATTTGTTGTTGTTGTTGTTGAGGTTGTTGTTATTGTTGTTGTAGATGATTTTATTGCTGTTGTTGATGTTGTTGTTGTTGATGTCGTTAATTTTATTGATGTTGTTGTTGGTGTTGTTGTTGTTGATGTCGTTAATTTTATTGATGTTGTTGTTGATGTTGTTGTTGTTGTAGTCGTAATTGTTGCCTTTTGCATTATTTTAGCTGCCATTTCACGGAACCATTTACATTTTTTAATATTTATTTTGTCGTCGTCATCGTCGTCTTTGTAATCTTCATCATCATCATCATCATCTTCTTCATCATCATCATAGATTTTGTTATCATCACCATCACAATTTCTATCATCATCATCACCACCATCATCATCATCATCATCATCGTTAACAAGAGCATCATTATCATCACTCGAAACAACAATTCCACCACTAACGACACTATTACCATTGCCAGTATTACCGTCATCATTATCAACACCAACAACATCATCATCATAATCATTATCAACACCAACATCATCACCATTATCAAAACCAACATCATCATCACTGCTTTTGACATCACGATTGCATATTTTCGCCAGCTCTTTGTCATATTTGGATCCGATATTATGTTTAGAAAACGAATTGTTGTTGTTATTACTATTATTGTTGTTGTTATTGTTGTTTATTTTCTTGTAGTTGTTGTTGTTAATGTTGTTTATATCGCTATTTTTAATGATTTTGTCGTTGGTGTAATGAATTTCTTTACTTAACGACATTAAAGTGTTAGATAACAAAGTTTTCGTTGTTTTTGTTGACGTTGTTGTTGATCTTGTTGACGTTGTTGTTGTTGATGCTGTTGTTGATGTTGTTGCTGTTGTTGCTGCTGATGTTGTTGTTGTTATCGTTGTTGCTAATGTTGTTGATGTGGTTGTTGTTGACGTTGTTAATGTTGTTGTTGTTGATGTTGTTGTGGTTGTTGTGGTTGTTGTTGACGTTGTTAATGTTGTTGTTGTTGATGTTGTTGTGGTTGTTGTGGTTGTTGTTGTTGTTGCTGGTGTTTTGGCGGCCGATACACATGAAAAACAGTGTAGTTTATTAAGAGTTTTATTTTCGTCAACGAATGAACCAGATACACGGTTTTCATTTAGATTGAAATGTTCTGTTGATGATGATGTTATTGTTGTTGTTGTGGTTGTTGTTGATGTTGTTGTTGTTGTGCTTGTTGTTGTTGTAGTTGTTGTTATAGTTGTTGCAGTTGTAGTTGTTGATGTTGTTGTTGTGGTTGTTGCAGAAAGTGATGCAGCTTTTGTTGCTGTTGAAATTAAATTTACAATCGCGGGAGGGAGAAATAATATATCGCATGATGACGTTTTTGCCGACGATGACGTCACTGGTGACGCTGTTGTTGTGGTTGTTTTTGTTTTTGTTGTTGTTGTTTTTGTTGTTGGTGGTAGTGCTGGTGATGATGATAATAATAATATCGACGATGATGATAACGATTCTGTTGTTGTTGTTGTTGTTTTTGATACTGTATTATTTTCATCGTTGAGGTCGCTATCTTGGTAACTTGCATGCATCATAGTGCTTATAGGATCATCTATATTATTATTAATACTATTATTATTATCATTATTATCCTTATCATTATTACTATTATTATTATTATTGTTATTATTATTGGCTGGATATTCAATGCAGTCAATTTGGAAACTTCTTCCAGAGTCCTCCGGCGAATGTTTGCTTTCTGTTTTGAAAATTATAAATTTTTTTATGTGTTTTTTTTTTAAAAGTATTAAAAAGTTTTAAACGATACTAATACTAAGAATGTAGAAATAACGTTAATAGTAGTAGTAATAGTAGTAGTAGTAGTAGTAGTAGTCGCAACAGTAGCAACAGCAGTAGTAGCGATACTGTTGTAGTAGCAGAAGCGGTGCCAGTAGTTTTAAGATTAACAGTATTAAAGTAGTAGTCGAAGTAGCAAGTGTAGTATTGGTAGTAGTATAAATAGTAGTAGCAGCAATAGAAGCTTATGTGGTAGTGGTAGTAGCAGCAGTAGTAGCAGCAGTAGTAGCAGCAGTAGTAGTAGTAGTGGCTCGAGAAACGCCGGCAGTAAAATCAAATGATTTCTTCATTTTGCACTCGGCCTCCCTTGTGTGGTCGAGTTTATTAACTTTGTTTAAAATTCTATTATCCTCTCATATATATTGTCATTATTGTTGTTGTTGTTGATAATGTTGTTGTTGTTTTTTGCTGTTGTTCTTGTTTTGTTGCTGTTGTTGATGTTGTTGTTGTCGTCATCATTGTCGTCATCATCACATCATCGTTATAAAAAAAAACATAAGCATCATAACAAACGTATGCATTTTCATCATCTGCATCACATTTACTTCCTTCATCATTGTAGTTAAAATCACCAATAACAACACTATCATCATTATCAAGATCATCATCATCGTCGTCGTCATCATCAACATCTTCATCTTTATCATCATTATCACAATCAATATTTAATGAAGTGCACACAGTGACACGGGCGACCTGTGAAAGAACTGATACAAGAATGTATGAACGCTTTTTTGCATGTTTGTTTGTACGTTTGTTTGTATGTTTGTTTGCATGTTTGTTTTTTTGTATGTTCGTTTGCTTGTTCGTTTGTTTGCTTGTTCGTTCGTTTGTTTGCTTGTTTCAGAAATTCGTACGTCCCACCAAAATTTTTGTCATCACGGCCATAATTTTGACCCAATCATTGTCTCAAAAACTTCTTAGAAATCACAATCTTACCACCCATCCAACTTTCAAAAACACTATTATCAGCACTCGTTTTCAACAAAACAAAAAAAGTGCCAGGTATATTTAGTCGGCAAGAAAATTACAGAGCGTTAAAACGTAGTCGCCGCGTTTTAACGTAGCCGTAGCGTAACAAATTTTAGCCGGAGCGTAACCAAGTGTATCTAAAGCGTAAGCGAATGTAGCTACAGCGCGCAAAGTCGTCGCTCCAGCTACATTTGATTAACCAGATTATTTATTACAATACTTACTATCACCTTTAATATTATTATTATGATTGTTGTTGTTGTTGCTGCTGCTGTTGGTTTTGTCTGTTGCTGTTGTTGTTGATGTTGTTGTGGATGTTGTTGTTGTCATTAAAGTTGTTAACGTTGTTTTCGGTGATCTTGAAGGTATTTTTGGCAAAACTTTTAATGATGTAATTGATGTCTCTGCTGATGTAGCTTTTGGTGTGGACGAAATTGCTATTTTTGTTGTTGTTTGAGAGTTCTTTGTTGTTGCAGACATGAATGATGCTATTAGTGTTGTGGTAACTGATGTGGTTGATGTTGTTGTTGTTGTTGCTGCTGTTGTTGGTGACGTCATTTTTGACGAATTAGGTGGCAATAAAACATATTGTTGGAATTTGACGCTTTTTTTGACATTTGCCTTCCGAGGTACGTCATACTGAATAAATTGATTTTGTTGTTGTTTCTGTTGTGGTAGATGCTGTTGTTGTTTTTGATGATGTTGTAGGTGTTGTTGTTTTTGATGATGTTGTTGATTCTGTTGTTGTTGTTGTTGATGTTGATTTTGTTGTTGTTGTTGATGTTGACGTTGTTGATTTTGTTGTTGATGTTGTTGATGATGACGATTGAAATCCATGCTTGTCGATTTGTTTAATTTCTCGCAAAAACAAAAACCATTATCATCATTACAGTTATTGTTGTTGATGCTATTATTATTAGTAGTAGTAGTAGTGGTAGTAGTAGTAGCTACAGCAGCAGCAGTAGTAGTAGCTACAGCAGCAGCAGTAGTAGTAGCTACAGCAGCAGCAGTAGTAACTTCCTCAATCCTTTTAATGTTGTTTCCATTATTTGCATCGACAACTTCTTCATTAATGTCATAGCAAAAATTGCTGACATTTACACCGCAGCAACTCTTGCTGTTATTATTACTACCATTATTTTTGTTGTTATTATTATTATTATTAATGTCATATGAACTGTCGTTACAGCAATGATAAAAATAGCAGCAACAACAGTTATTATTATTATTATTATTATTGTTGTTGTTGTTGTTGTTATTATTATTATTTTTGTTGTTGTTTGACGTTAATTTACTTTCGTTAATGTAATCAATAAAACATTGATGATGATTTTGTTGTTGTAATTCGTTTTTATGTTCAAGTTTATTTCCTG